TGCACTAATTGGCTGGGTGGACCCTGCTACAGCACACTATTGTCTGCTTTGATGTTTCAAATGTATGTCAAAGCGTGCTGTAGCAGAGTACACATGGCCAGTTAGCGTTCAGCAAGCTAGTGTACTATAAATTCACATTGTGGCTTGCCATGCACTGACTTGTGTTGACTCAGGCTTCTAAGTAACATTACGGTCAATGTGAATTAGGACCTGAAGTCATCTGAAAATAGGCTTTAAGTATTTTTGAAAATATTACCCTTGATCTTTAATTCCTTTTTTCCCTTCTATCATTTTACATTTCAACATTACTTTGGCAGCCACTCTCAGAGTACCTCTGTAATTAGAAAAATGCTGTAGCCTATCTGGAAAAGGGAAGTTACTTACCTTGTTGTAACTGGAGTTCTTAGAGATGTGTGGTCTCTATCTGTATTCCACCGTGGGGTTCAAATTCATGGAGCTCATGCATACCAGAGAATTCTTGCCAGTAGTGTCTGTTGGTGCACACCTTTGGCACGGTTCTCCTTGAGTTCCCTACCAAGGATATAAGGGGCAGGGCAGACTGATCACCTTGCCAGTTCCTTCTCTACTGCCAATATAGTCATGATCCAATGCAGAGGAAATGGAGGGCAGGTAGTAGAATACAGTTAGGGAACCACACATCTTTAAGAACTCTGGTTACGCTAAGTAATTTCCCTGTCTTCTTTCGGTGCTGGTCCCTATGTGTATTCCACTGTGAGCGACTGAAACAGTATTCAGAGCAGAATGATGATGATTCAAGTGAGATGATGCAGGTGGTATAACTGCTTGGAGAACTGCTGTCCTAAAGGATGCATCAGCAGTGGAGTCCTCGACCAAGGTGTAATGTCTTGCCAACGCATGTGTGGAGTTCCATGTGGTTGCCCTGCAAATATAAAGCAGCGGTACCTCTTGAAATGAAGCTTCCGAGGTTGCTTGGTTCCTTACCTGGTGTGGGGGAAGAATCTGTGTAAACTGGTAACAGAGTAGGAAACAGCCAGATGTTCACTGAGAAGACATCTTGTCCTTGTATTGTTCTGCTATGGAAGCAAAGTTGAGGGAATGAAGTCTTAGCTCCACACTGGAAGCATGGGGCTCAGGAAAAAACACAGTAAGTGTATTGACTGGTTTATGTGAAATTCTGAAACTATCTTGGGAATTAATTTTAGGTGTAGTTGTAGCGAGACCTTGTCCTTATGGAATATTGTGCATGGTGGATCAGCCATAAGGTCCTAGGTTTAACTTAACCTTCTGGCTGAGGAGATGGCAGGAAGGAAGGCAATCTTCACTGACACGTGAGACATGGAACACGTAGCTAGCAGTTCAAAGAGTGGCTTAGTGAATGCTAAAAGAACTAAAGTAAGATCCCAGTGCAGGGTTAATTTCTTTACCAATAGAAAGGTTCTGATCAGGCCCTTCAAGAACCTGGCTGTTACCAGACGGGTAAATATCGAGTTGCTGGCGGGTGACATCCACTAATTGCTGACAGGTCAACCTGTAGTGAGCTAAAGGAAAGTCCCATTGTTTTGAGGGTAAGAAGATAGCGGATAGTCTGAAGTAGCAGGAATCTCTCTAGAGATATGATTTTGCTGGGTCCACATAGCGAAACATTTCCATTTGGCTAGATAACATTTTCTGATGGAGTCCTTTCTGTTATTATTAAGAATGACTTGCACAGCTTCAGAGCAGAAATGTTCTAAGCTTGACACCCATCCAAATACCAAGCCACGAAACAAACAGCCATTGGTGTTGGGATGCCTGAATCTGCCATCAAGAGATCTGGAAAGGTCTGAATGCTGACAGGTGGATGGGATGACATTTCAAGGAAGTTTGGAAACCAGAACTGTCTGGGCCAGCTGAGGGTAACGGAAGCTGACTTGTGACTTGGCCAGTCGAATCATCTGTATAACCCGAGGTAGCAGAATGGGAAGCAAGACATAGCTGAAGTGATCTGTCCAATGACTCTTTTGTCTTCTAAGCGAAAAGATTTGACAAGAAAGGTAAATCCTCATAAGTGTTCTCCCCTGGGAAACCATGAAGTGTAGCCATGATTTCTGTCACCTCTTGATGATCTTGATGCCATAGCAGCTGCATTGACTGGAGTTTGCAAAGAGGTTCTAGTTTGCCCTCGTCCATAAGGTCCTGAAACTGAACCCTGTTCTCCTGAAACAACTTGTTCCTAAAGTCCAGGAACTCAGAGTAATTCAGGAAACCTTGATAGTTTGAGATTCAACACTGAAGGCCAGTAAATGTAAATATACTTTCTTCTCCATAAGGTTGAGAAGCTTGACCTCCTTATCTGTGAGAGTGGCCCTTTGGTGTTGTCTGGATCTTTCCATGGCTGCCTGGACCACCAAGGAGTTTGGGTGGGTGAACAAGAACTCTGCTCCTTCAGCCAGGACAAAGTACTGCTCCTCTACCTGCTTGGAGGTAGAGGTATGTGCCATACAGTCCTTGTCAGTTGTCATGACCCATGGGTCTCCAACCCAGGTCCACAGGAACAACCATGATTCAACCCTCCACTTGTCAGCCTGCTGACCCAAGACCCATGAAGCCCAACACCTGTTTGAGGCTCCACCCATTGGCCGAGTTCCAGAGCCGTTGATTTGCTGGCTTAAGTAGGGCCAGCAAGCCACAGAAACAGGAAGCTGTTCTAACAGCTAGGATCCACTCTGGACTGTGTACCTTGTGACCCCTGCTCCCCTGACTTGACTTCCTGACATACTGACCTGGCTTGGCTCCTGACCTCTGATGTGTGGTTCTGATCTCCAGTTTGTCTCCTGCTTCTGACCCCTTGGTATCCTGACCCAGCCTGACACTCAGCTCCCGATTGTGGACGCTGGCTCTGACCACTATGTCTGGATGCCCACAACCAGGCTTTGACCCCAGTTCTAGTATGGCTCATTTACCAGGAGTACAACCCAATTGGAGCTTGTAGGCAGCAAGATATCTAGGAGCTTATGCTAAGAATCCTGGACCTCCTCTAAGTAGACTAAGATCTTTTGCCACTTTCTGGAACAGCTCTTGAAACTGTTTGTGATCATTAGAGGGGAGGGGAGAGAGAAAGATAGAGAGAGAGAGAGAGGCTGAAACAACCACCTAAATGGGTGACAAGGACAAACCCCTGTTGGAACCAGTGCCACCAGGGGATCTGGCTTGTCTTCCCCTTCTTGCATTGGGTTAGGGTATTTAGACTGATCCTGTGGAGGAAAGACTCCCTGCTGGAATGGACAACAGTATTCTCCAGAGTGGTATAAGTCACTGGCACCTTCAAAGATTGCATCGTCGCAATGTTCCACCGGAGAAGGCTCTGGTCCAGAAAAAAGGTGTAGGCAGTGGTTCCTTATGGGGCCATGATGGTACTGCTAGTGAATGAATGTCTCTGACCTCTTGGTTTTTGACGATACTGGTAGTGCCCGATGCTTCATGTCCTAGTGTTCTAGAGGACACCACAGTAGATGTTGAAGTTGATGTGGAGGCTGGTACCAAAGCCGCCTTGCTCCTATGATTCTTTTGAATGTGTCTATGTAGCTTGGGCGTGAAGGCTCACCTGACTTGGAAGTAGGTCAGGACAGGACCTCTCCTTTTAAAGGGTCTAGGAGGGAATCTGCTTTATGTTTGGAGTGTGTGTCCCTTATTCTCAAGAAGGGGCCTAGCCAAAGGGTCCTTTCCTCTGCCCTCAAGTTGGACATAGTACTAGGGGGCATGCTCCTTGTGGATTCTAGCCAATGTGCAGCAGGAGTCTCCCTGGTCTGGATCTGACTGGGACCTCATTGCACACTCCAAAAGGTGCTTCTGAAGTTGAAGTTCTTGCACTTGCCACATTCCACTGGAGCAACAGATACTTCACTTAGCAGAGATCTGAGCTTCAAGGAGGCAGGAAGAGGCAGTGCTTGTGGCTGTTGCTGACTGAAAATGAGCGGGGGCAGGAGTTTCAGTTTTTGAAGACCGGTGTGCTGGGCATAATCTAAGACCTGCACTGGGAGACAAGGTGCGTTCCCCAGCCAGGGGATTCTAACGCTTACTAGGGAACTATAAAACATGAACTGACAAATAACCTGAATATTTACAGAAGAGAAGGATCCGCTCTGGAGAACAGTGGAGAATTCTCTGGCAATGCAATGGGTAAGGAGAACCTGGAGAGGTGGTTGATCCACCCCACCCTTATATTCTGTGTGGAATGAAGAGAGTGGGGGTGCAGGTGTGGACCAATGGACATTACTTGCAAGAATTTGCTGGTCTCAGATAAGGCATGTGTACCCACAGTGGAACACAAATAGGGACGAGCACTTGAAGAATAACCCAGCTTTCATATTGTGCAGTGATACTCAGGCCGCGGCTCATGAGCCACAAGTGGCTTTTTTAATTTATTTCCTTCAGCTCTTTGCAGCACATATTTAAACACTATGTGATTTAATTATTAAATAACCTAAATTAACAACCAGTCAGGATGCTTTTGCTATGTTATTAACCAAATTCAGTGATCAACTTGCACTATTATTAACTTATTTGCTGTGAGAATATTAGTTATGTGTGTGTGTGTACACACACAAAATATTTCTTGTCATACTGTTTATGTGCATGCAGCCATCTGTGGGTCCAGCTAGTCATTGGCAAACAATACACAATTATTTGTACTTGGATGTGCAAATTTGATCAGTAACATTAGAGTTTAGAAACTGACAATTCCATGTACAGAAAGCATGTTCATGAACATTTGATTAGAGAAGCTGAATCAGAACATAACTTGCACTCAGTCACAACAACATTTAAATGTAGTGATGACATAATTCATGCAGAGGTTACTGTGCAGCTACAGAGCAGAAATCAAATACATGAAGTAGCAGAACATCAAGTGTCTGGAAGAATACGCACCACAGATTGATATCAAATTTAAGTGATTATTTTGGCTTTGATCCCTTTATATTGTTGATTGTCAACCTTTGTACAGGCATGCTATTACACAAAGAAAATGGCAATACATACAGCTTTAAGATCAATTTATTTATAAGTGCATGAAACAGGTTACAGAACATTATTAAAATACTGGCTTGGGGATTTGTATTTTTTTTTAACCAATGTTTAATCAAATAAATCTGTACAATGAGTACTGTCTACATACTGGGTTAATTTGTAAGTTACTGTATATAGATCATTACCAAAGATTTCCTCCAGTATGTTACAAAGATGAAAACTGCATAAAGACCCCCTGAAATCTTATGACTAGACAGGGCAATGTCAATTGTGCATCACTGCTTTGTAGCTGAAGCAATGGAGTGGAAATATGTGCAGAAAAATTTGCTTTAATCTAAAGTAATATGCCAACTTTTATTGCTACCCTTTGAAGAAAATGAGAGGTGAATGTGCTGTGAGAAACAGAGAAAAAACATTTGTATGGCTATACTAAGATCATTACTGCAATTAAAATACAGAAGATTAACCGCAAAACTTTTATAGTCAAGAAATTATTGTAGGTTCATAGCAAGGTTTATACACAAATACGGAAATAAAAAAGTTGCTTTTATAAAAATTTTAAAAGTATACAATATTTACAGCTTGTTAGGTATCATCCATGGAAGTATTTTAATCTTAAATTAGAGCTAAACTATTATATAACATGCAGTACATACAGATATAACTAACTTTAAAAATACTGTTTCACACCACGTAATATGAATAATTTCTCAATTAAATTACCTCTCAACTCTCACTATTCTTGCTATCTTTAAGCTTTACAATAAACCTCAGGGCAAATTTTCAGCTAATGTAAGTTTGTGTCATCTGAGAATCTGGCCTTTATTTCTAAAAGAGGAACATACTATAGACTAGGAATCACATAACACTTTCTCCACCTCCATTTTTCTAATGCCTGGAGAAGCTGCATCTACTAGGTTTCCTATAATTGAACATTATTATTTAAATCATGGTCGACCAAAAGCCAAAATAAATTCAATCCAAATCGATCTTTATCAGCTCACTACTGCAATGACTATTAAGACTAGATTTTTAATTTTATTAATCCTCTCAGAAATCCTATTCTTCTCCCTTTTATCTGATTACATAAGGGCCAAGTGATGTCTGATTTTTTTCAGCTGATTCAAGATGTTCACATATGGTGGGAACTAGCTTAGCCCTAATGGTTCTTTTGAAGAGTCTCTACTGGATTCTTAAGATTTTTTTAAAAAATATTTAAAAGTTCCGGCCTTCATAGACTGTATTGTTGCAACTAAAACTCTAAGGCAGGGGTAGTCAATTATTTTTTGTCAAAAGTTCAAATTTCTTAGTCAAGGTCCACATTCCAGAGAAAATAAAAAAAACAACAATCATAATAAGTAAATAAAAATATTTTGTGGTCCATTCAAAAGCACCTGGCATTCTGGATTTGGCCTGTGGTCCGCCTTTTGACTATCCCTGCTCTAAGGATTACCAGAAATGTACACAATCAATGTACTTTCATAGGTCAAGAGAAATGTTAAGCATTTTTTAACTTGTAGTTTGATTTTTACTATATCAATATATAGAACTTATATAGTTTACACAGTTTTTAAATGGGAAGAACAAACACCTGTCAACCTAACCATTCTTACCAACATTCCTCTGAAAACAGATGACATTATTTAAGACAATAACTAAATTACCAGTATCAAGCTAAGGGGCTAGCTTTCAGAGAAAAATGGCTTTATTTAGATCAGTCAATAATTACTTATTCAGTTAATCTTCAGCGTTTATTGAAAAAAATGTTAGTTATTTAGTTTGGCTTATAGATTAGTTTCCCCAGCTCATAATAGAAGCTGGAAGAGCAAATGCTGATTCATTTTGATTACTGATAAAGAGAATAGTTAACATTCATGCAGTTTTAGTGATTTAATCTCAAATATAAACAAATTTTCCTACTTCTGATAGATTTTTTTCAGTGTAATAGATCATGGAATTGAAAGATGAACATTTGAGGTGAAAAACTTCTTGTAAGAGGAATATTTCTGTAGATATCCTCACATACTTCTACTCTAAAATCAATTACTTTTAGCTCTGCTGTAGTTGGAAATTACTTTGAAGTAAAATGGCACTGCGGGGTCTGATGTTGCATCTCTTTTAATTACACTACATATTAAACTTTCATGTAAACTAAGCATAAGGATGGCTTTAACTGCTTCAACTTTCTTACAGTCTGGAATCAAGCCATGGTCTTTCTGGCTCACGAACCACCGTAAGTAGGTAGTAAGGATTCTGCAGGCCAAGGTCTGCAGTTACAATGCACGGAACCAAATGGAATTTACTTTAAAAAATTTGTTGGCAGGCAAGATTGAATAGAAACTAGCTTGTTTTCACACAGCTGTGTTGGGTCTCTACCTCTGTCAAGAGTGAAAAGGTAACAAGAGCTTTGTCACTCGAGTAAACAAAACAGGGTAAAATACACCCATCCACAGAGGCTAGCGCAAGGCCTATGTACCACCGAAGGCCCACTTAAGCTGTACTTTGAGGGCATAAAGGGGGATTTCAGCAGTGCATTGACCTTGTGCTGGCCACTATATTAGAGTGAATTTTAATCAGCAGATCTGCTTGCTGTGGATGATGAGTTGATGCATTTTTTTAAATGATCACTTTTGGGATTTAAATTCACAATTCCCATTCACAATGTTGTTTATTTTTGGAATGTCAGTGAAATATGTACAGTTCCATTTAACAGAATACTCAAGCAGCTCATGGACACTTGTCTTACCTTCTGTATTTATTTTAAACTAGAATCTACAAGTCCAAAATCAGAAGACTGGTCAAAGCTCCAACATATGATGGATCAGATGGTTTAGCTACAGATATTATTTTGGACTGTAATTACAGCTATAACTTCAAGTTTCAAGTATACATACAACAAAATCAACTCCTACAGTAGAAAGAAATGGTTGTCAGATATGTGAAGAGGGGATTATAAAACTGATTCCTTTCAATTGCAATGCAGAATATTTCCTTAGCAAGTCATTATTTGAAATGCCCCTGCTAAACTAATGGAATAATGTGTTAAATTAGGCTATGTGAGGATATCCCAAAAGTTAATTTTAGGTGGTGAATTTGAAAGCTAGACATAGACCTACTGTCCAAGAGCGTCAACAACTAATTTTTAGTTCCTTCAATGTAGTCCATAAAAAAGAGAAGAGACTACACAAAAAATGGTTAAGAGGCAAGGGGGTGCCCAGGAGAAATACTACCAATACATCAGCTACATGGAAGAATTGAGAGCAAGTCTTAATCTTATTGTGAGTATAAGGATCTAATATTTTTGTCTGCATGGAAACTTCCACCTTCACAAATGTATGTGGAAGGGAATAGGGTTTGTGTCAGTTTCTTTCAACTGCTGACACAATGGAGATTGTTAAGTATATCAGTAGTGGAAACAAATAATCCCAATTTTAAAATAAGGTAACTTGAAAACAAAGTTTGTCTGAAAATTCTGTGCCTGTTAGTTACATATAAGATTACTGTAATTCAAAGTTTGTGAAAAAATATTTTACTCAATGTCTATTTGACAGCACTGCGTATAATCAGTTTCACCTTTAACATACCTTTATAAACAGGGGAGAAGAAAAATTCTTATAAAAGAAATTTTAAATAATCAGGACGTGTTATTTAAGTTGTTCTACAGAAACTGGAATTTAAAATATGAATCAATTTTTGAGACGATTCAAGTTAAGAGTCCCTTTAAACAGTTCAAAATTATTCCTCTTCCCTCCAATTTGAAATTTTCTGGGGTGCTCTCTCCTTCCCCTCTATTTTGCATCTGACAAGTTCCTGAAGACTTGAGTGTGGTGAAGTGAGGTTCCTGCTCATCAGGCATCTCCTCCCCAATACTCTGCAGTCAGAGATTGGGGAAGGGGATAGGTCTGAAACCTGCCCCAGAATTACAGGCTGAGCAGCTGCAGGACTGAGGCTTCTGCTCTGCATGTTGAGCCACTAGGGGTATGTCTACACAGCAACATAAGGCCATGTAAGCAACGTAAGTCCCCCTGGCATCCACACCCCAATCACGTAGGGCTCAAACCTAGGGCTTCAGGACCCTGCAGGGCTGGAGGGTCTGAGCCCATATTAAGCTGCGACTGTGTGTCCAAATCCTATTGCTTTCCCATGTGTATGCGGCCCCTGATTTGACTCAGGTTCCAGAAGTCCTCCAGATGTATTCCAGAGTTCCTTGGAGCAACGTCCTTAGCCCTCTTGGTATCCGCTCCACTCTCTGGCCCCCTCTGGGCCTACATGTGCAAGGGCACCTGGGCAGCATGCGCACTGTCAGGGTAGCAAGTGGGAGCCAGCCCCAAAATTTCCCTGCAGCCTCCCCCAGTGGTGGCTCCAGCTTTTGCTCCTCCTCACTGCTGTGCAGAGCTTGCCTGGAGCAGGGAGCAAAGCTGACAGGGATCCAGACTGCCAGGATCAGAAAGTTACTCACCTTGTGCAGGAATGTAGGTTCTTTGAGATGTGTGTCTCTATGGGTACTCCACTTTAGGTCTTTGGGTGCCCTTGGACTTGTAATCGGAGATTTGTGGTAGCAGTGCCCGGCTGGGTCGCACATGCACGGTCCCCGTCTCGTACCACCTCAGGCAGTTAACTGGCGCTGTGTGACCAACACCCCCTCAGTTCCTTTTCTACTGCAGAGATTAAGTGATAAACTCTGAAGCAGAGGTGAGGAGGGAGGGTAGTGGAGCACCTACAGGGACACACATCTCGAAGAACCTACAACAAGGTGAGTAACTTTCTCTTCTTCAAGTGCTGTGCCTATGGGTGCTCTGCTTTAGGTGACTTTGGAGCAGTACCCTCTGGTGGAAGAAGGGGGCTTCGGAGTTGAAGTCATGACAGAAGACAGCACAGTGAGTCTGAAAGAGGCATCAGATGTTGCCTCTTGCTCTAATGAGTAATGCTGCGTAAAAGTATGGGCTGAAGCGCAGGTTACAGCCCTACAGATGTCCATGATAAATACGTTGTTAAGGAAAGCAAGAGGTCGATGTTTATGCTGTGTCTGTGTGGGACATAGTTTAAACGGAGCCACGCTTGCAGGCAACACGTGTAATCTTGTGCATCTGATGACGAAGGTCACGGCAACCATGTGGCCAAGAAGTTGCAGGCAAGTCCTGTCAGATACCTGTGGACTGTTTCATGTCGTGGATATGAGGTTGATTAGAGTGAGAAAGCATTGCCTTGGTAGAGAGGCTATGGCCTTGGGAGAACTGAGATGGGCCCCAATGAACTCCAACTCTTGCACTAGTATTAGAGTGGACTTTTGTGCATTTATTTGGAGTCCTAATCTCGTGAAGAGGGTCACCATCGGTTTGGCGGCTTGTAATACTGCTTGCCGTGTTGGTGCTTTCAGCAGACCGTCGTCCAAGTTCGAGATTATCATGATTCCGTTTCTGCTGAGGTAGGCAGCAACCACTGCTAGTACATTTGAAAAAACTTGAGGGGCATTGGATAGGTCAAAAGGAAGAACCTTGTATTGGAAATGTTCCTGTCCAAAAGTAAATCAGAGAAACCTCCGAAGTGAGGGATGGATTGTTATATGAAAATACGCATCCTGGAGGTCGAGGGCAGAGAACCAATCCACTCTTTCTAGTGCTGGAATTATGGTGCCTAGGGTGACCATTTTGAAGTGCTGTGTCTTCACGAACTTGTTGAGTCACCGTAGATCAAGTACGGGTCTCCACCCACCCAAACTTTTTCTTTATGAGAAAATAGTGGGAATAAAAATCCCCTCTCTCTGTGTCTTGTTGGAACAGGTTCTACTGCTCCTAGATGTATGAGATGGATTACCTCTTGACACAGTAGATGCTCATGAGAGGGGTCCCTGAAGAGGGATGGGAGGGATGGTGAATAAGGGGTTTGAAAAGAAAGGGGCTGGAGTAACCAGTTTGTATGATTTCTAGCACCCATCTGTCAGATGTGATGGTTTTCCAGATTGGATAAAATGGAACTAGGCAATCTCTGAAAGGTCAGGAGAGAGTAGACGTCTTCAGCACAGAAAGACATGGAGCTCTTGGGCCCTCAACAAAAGCTTCAAATTTGTTGCCTGGATGTCTATGGCTGCGACGCTGCTGCTGGAAAAATAGGCTGTCATCTTCTCAATGGCCTCTGTGACTCTCATATGCCGGTGTTGCTGTGAATACGGAGCATGGCTGTAACGCTGAGGGGCATAGTAACAGATCAGCTTGGAGGGCTGTTCCAGAGAAGAGTTGTCCCTGATAAAACTCCTGAAAATTGTTCTTATCTTTGGAAATAAAGTCAATAAATTCAGAAAACTGTGTAGTAGTAGTTGTAATCATACTTTGCCAGCAAGGTCTCATAATTGGCTATCCGGAGATGTAGTGTAGCCAAAGAGTAAACCCTGTGGCTGAAAAGGTCAAGCCTTTTCCAGTCCTTATCATAAGGTGTGTGCTTGGGCTGCTGTTGCCTGTCACATTCATGGAATGCGTCAACCACCAGTGATTTGAGTGCCATATGGGAGAAGAGGAAGTCTGTGCCTTTCACTGGCACATAATATTTTTTGTCAAGCCTTCTTGCAGGTTGGAGGAGCAGTTGCAGGGGTCTGACAAATGGTCTTGACAGGTTCCATTATTGCATTGTTCATAGGCAAAGCAATTTTGAAAGAAGAGGATGTATTCAAAATATCCACTAGTTTGTGCTGTGTCACCTGGACCTCTTCCAGAGAGATGTCCAGTGAACTTGATACCCTTTTAAGTAGGTCCTGGAATTGTTTGAAATCATCCCCCATATTAGGAGGAAGAGGCATGACGGTGGAGGAGGCACAATTCTTACTGGTGGCTGCTCTCACTTTTCCTAAAATATTGAATTAACTTTAGGAAAACAAAATAAATATGCATATATACATGTCCAAATCATTGTAATTTATTTATTGCTAGCTAGTAAGTCTGTTGTGAAAAGTGATATTAACAAACATACAAATACCACTTTTCACAGCAGACTTACTCAGCCCTGGCAAGCCTGGGGACAAATTAAGCCCTGGATGGAGAGTTGGGGAGGGAGTGGGTGCCAGGCGAGATGAGGGTGGGTGGCTGGGGGAGGCAGTGTGGGGCTTGAGCCTGAAGCCCTGCAGCCAGAGCCAAAAGTCATGGGGCCCGGGGACAGAGCCTGAAACCGTGTGGCTGGAGCAGGCCTGTCACTGCGCAGCCAGAGCCCGGAGCTGGAGTCCAAAGCCCCATGGCCAGAGCCTGCTGCCCCACCACCACAGCACTGAAGCTCAAAGCCTGAGCCCTACCACCCCTGGGAAGGAAAAGAACTCACCATCTGCCTGCTCCTACAGCATTGTGCCTCAGCTGACTCCAGGTGGAGGCTCCAGCAACCAAACACCAAGGCAGTGCATCCAAGAGAAACAGTGAAAGGAAGGTGGAGGATGCGCTACTTCGCCCACCCATCCACAGCCCAGAAGGCTGTGGCCGCAAGAAAACCCACTAGTGGCTGTATTTGAGAAACATTGCCATAGGAGGCCAGGGGAAGAGAATATGAAAGTTGTCCCTGCCTAATCTGCCTTTGACCATCAAATAGCTAAAAAAATTAACAAAAAGTTGTCCTGCTTGGGGGGGGGGGGGGGGGGGAATCAGAGACGGGAGAATTGCAGGGGCCTTTTAAATGTTCCAAAAATCATTGCAACTCAGCAAATGAATTTAAGGTTCTTAAAATATAGGTCACGTGTTCACTAGAAAAGAACTGATTGCCAAACAGTAACATGTTTCATGGGTAACAGATACTATATGCAGAAACGGGGGGGGAGGGGACACACAAAAACAACTACTCTAAAGATGCAGCAGTTTAAACAAAATATTTACATGTATTTAACAGCTACAATAAAGGCCGAAGAGATTAGCTGGGGTTTAATGGCTGGTTAGATCATTAATGCATAGAAAACACCCAGTGCCTCACAACTCTTACTAGTTATCACACACACACAATACCACTGTAGTTTGGATAAGCACACTGAGATTTCTCCTTACCTCAAGTACCTTGGTCTGAAAAATTCAGGCTGCAAGCCTCATTGTAACAATTGACTTCCTAATTTTGGCCATGACAAAAATACCATAACAGGTTCTCTTTATTTCCACTTCCAAAGTGAGCACAGCAATTGAACAAAACCCGATAGAGTGAGTGTATCATTTTCTGAGTTATGGTGCAATTTGGTCCATTTATTTTACCTAAAGTGAGATTCACCCATCCTTAATTACAACCCAGAATACTACCACATCTCAAGAGCAAAACTTCAAGTCTTTTTCCTGATCATCTTGCTATAGGGTGTGATTATACATGAACTACTTTGGATGACCATGTACAGCGCCATAAAGCTAATACATTAATGATGCAATACTACGTTTTAATGTATTAAAGGCATATTAAAATATGCTCAGTGAATGAAATGTCAAAACACACATGCAAGTGAAAAAGAAGTTTACAAACATAAGGACAGATTTTCTAAACAGTTATTATACAAAAAGCTATTTACTAGATGGTACTATGTACAACAAAAAAGACATGTAATTAAAATAAAAATCAACTGTTCATACTGAAACAAAAAAACAGAACAAATGAATAGCAAAGTGCAAAACTAAAAGAATCATTATTTCCCTTAGATTAAAACAATCACAATTCAATGAACATTAGAAATATATTTATACTGCTATGTAACATTACAGATAAAGACAGAAGTATAAATCACTCTTTGGTCCCCTTGTTCGTACATTAAAACTGGTTTAACTACTGTCATTTGTTGCTGTAAACAACTGAGGAGTATGCCCAGAATTACATTGCTAACCATGGTACATAGAGATCAGTTCAATAAACATAAGAGGATTATCACCAAAAATTAATTATCACCAAAAATTAAAAAGATCTGTAATATTTTCTTCATACAATACAGCTGTTCTAGCTATCTGAAAACAGAATTCTTCTTTTTTTATAGTGATGCATAGCTAATAATTAGAGTGAGCTGGTATTTAAATCTTGAAAAACCAAAAGAGCTTCTATCTTAAAGTTACAAGTGGTTGAAGTTTCTTCACATCAATTATCACACTGCCATTCTTCCAAAGACCAGAATTGTGTAGATATATTGCACTTCTACACTACTGTAGTGAATAATAACCATCAAGCGTATCCATTTAGAGCCATTCATATAAAAGATGCCTTGGTCTTGAAATACTGCACAGTACTATTACAATAAAAGAAATAACACTGTCCCAAGAAATTTACTCTGAGATGTTGTGTGAATTACTAGCATGCGTAAATTCTAAAATATATTTTTCACAAAATGGATTATAAAAAGACCATTCCCGGTTATTACGTGTATACATTTAGACTATTACCATTTTTTATAATAAGGGCCCAAGAGTGTAACAGCCATCTAACTCCCAAAAGCAGTCAATGGAATAAAACGTCAGGGCTGAAACTGATCTATTTCTTTCAAAGGCATAAGGCTACTGAAGATGTTTTCACCACTGGTAACTGCTTGTTCATTCAAATACTGTATTTTAATGTGGAAAGGCAATAAGTTAATACTGTACTTTGTGACAAGCTAGTCATCCTCATATCTCCGCCATAAAGGAAAGCAGTTAAGAATTCTTCCTCAGAGTTGATAGTTTTGTCCTATTGACATTTGGTGAGCCACTTGGACATTGACTGCCTACTGTTGCTAAACATTAATACCATATAGTACACATAGACAACTAAGCAACTCAGACCATATTTTAGAGAGAGAGTGACAATTCTGTATGCAACGTATATATTTTTTAAACCTAATACATGCTTGAGCTAAAGATCATTCAACAGCTGGTCCTAATATTGCAGAGGTTTCCTCCTCTGAAAAATGCTGACCTATATCATAAGGTGGCACACATTAGCAAACACTTCACTGGCACCTCAATTGAGGTGAAAAGCACAGTTTACCATTCAATGAAATTTTAATTTTCATTCAAACTTCTGAACTTAGTAATGGTGTCTTTTGTAGTCATTGGCTTAATACGGTGAGACTGAAGATGTTAAATTGTCATAAAACAACGTTATGAATAGAACAGCAAGTTAGTTAGATGTGCAAAAAAATCTGAAATCTAAGATGCAGCTTTCTAGTGAAAGTTAAGAAGTCTTGAAATTATTCAAGTTACCGAAGACTATGTTTTAGGAAAGGAATTTTTAGATCCAGACAAAACGTGGTTCCATAGTTTGTCACGTCATAAGAATTCATTACTCCTCCCAGTACTTCTGTTGATTAAACCATTGCATCAGATAACCAAATCTGTTAGTAAAAGCAACAAGAGAACAAGCAGTAAGAGGACAGTAAAATTATTTAAATTCCTTCCCCTAAAATCTCTCTCTCCAAGGCACATTAAATTAGAAAGAACATAACTTCAGTTATTTTATTTATACTAAGTTTTTTTTTTTTAAGTCAGTGACTTGACTATCTGCAATCAATTATTTTTCATAAATTAAGTTATTGAGAAAAATTTAAATAATTATCTACAGATAGCAGCAGCCTACCAATTACAAATAATAACTGATAAACTAATGTTTATGGAGGAAAAATGGTAAAATCAGATTTTAATTTATTGTATTTTGAAGCAGTGAGCAAAGTGATTTTTAAGTAACCATTGTGACAGTGTCCTTTTGATAGTGCTCCAAATACTACTGTTTCAACAGGCCTGGAATAATCTTGGACATCATGACAGCAACACCTTTGGTGCATAAGCCCTCCCTCTCTATGCACACATTTATTCAACTGTTGTAAAGTACTCCACTGAAGCAGGATATGAATGATTCCCTCTTTCCTCACACAGACCTTCTTGCCCTTCTGAATTCTGCACTCCTGTAATATTTTAAAATTTCTATTCACTTTGAACCATTTTATATGTGCATTTTACATGCATATTACCACTGTTCCTTTTAAAGTAGAAAGAACACAAGTCTACTGAAAGCTAAATATCTGAAAACTCCACATAGGATAAAATGTGTTCAGAAATGAGGAAGTTCATGCATCGCACTATTGTTCCAGTTTTGATACTGATAGACCGGATCTTAACATTAAATTTACCATTTTTGTTCAGCAGAATACTGGAACAATCATGTACCAAACATAAAATATTTCTTAAAATCCCTTTCAATTTTTTCTTTGTTGTTTCTTTACTTGTTTTTTTAATTCTCTTTCAAAGCCTAGATTAGACCATGTTTTAAACATTAGATGTTTCAGAATTAAAGACTGGTTCTGGTTTTTAAATATCATTAAAAAGAAGATTTAATTGCAACAAGTAACTTCTCTGACATCACACTGGAAACAACTTCTTTCTTTGAAGATAAACACAAGTACCTTTTTCAGAAGGGTTAATGAATACCTACATTTCAAACAAAATTTATGAGTAAAGGAATAATTTAAATTTCATTTGTAAATATACATAATAGATTGTACTTAGTTTGCCCTACTCACAGTCTGCTTGATGATTTTTGGACTGATAAAATACCAAGTATGTAGAAATAAAACCATTAAAATCTGTTTTCTATAGGTGGTGAACCTCACAGAATTGCTTCACTAAAGTCCTCCTACATATAGTGCTAACCACATGAATTTTATGAATAGAGCTGCTGCAGTCCTATATCCCAGTAATACTCATGTACAGTTCAAAAAACAAGTAGTTACTTCATATGCTGAATGGGGTAACACTCAGCATTGAGTAGGATTGAGTTAAACAAATGCAAGTACCTTACTAGTTTACCTGAATTAATGTGGAATATATTCACAGCACTCCTCTATTACTACAATTTCAAATGTTCACACTATCAATAGTTAAAAAATTAAACTTCAAGTTTGGCACATGTACCGATTCTTCAGAAATGTCCCTGTATTTCAACACTGTTAAGAACAATGATCTCATCATCAAGTGTTAACCTGATTGGCAGCTCTTCAAGGTGCTTTATCTCACAACTTCACATACATTAATTGCACCTTTCCTGTGACTGAGGCACATAAGGTGCAGAGCAGTAGTAAAACAGTGTGGACACTAGAGGGCAGTCCTTTCCCACTTGACTGAACTTCTAGATTTGAAGTTCAGGTCCCATATTCTTCCTGTTGCACTAATCCATGTCCGTCAGCCACTGAAGCCACTTTCAGGAAACTTCTCTGCAGACAACAGGTTTCCTTATATCAACTGACTGTTTTCACAGAAGTCTCAAAGTGTAGCAAGAATCCTTGAAAATGAGATAATCAATGTCAGTACTGTCTGTCCAACTCCAAATACCAGTGCTTCCAAAGGAGCCATGTTCTTCCCTGCTACTCTGTAAATTCCAGCTACTGCTGCACCTAGAATCACAAGAAAGAACATGTGAAATTATTACACGAACAAAAGGTCAAAGCGGAGGCTTATGATGATTAATATCAGGTCTCAACATATTCTATTAGCAAACCTGTTATCAAACTATTACTCCAGAATTATTAACACCAATTTGCTTTACTTCTCTCACTGTCATGATAGGCATTAAGTATAGTTTCCTAGCTGAAGTGCAGTTTTTAAAAACCTAGGAAATTACACACATATATACAAATGTTCCTAACTTTCAAACAAATACTTATACATTTTATGTATTTATTTTTGTAATTTGTTAAGTTTTGCAGTTTCCTCAGACATTTTCACACTATTTATCTTTGTGTAAAGAAGCCTTGCAAAATTGCCAAGAAAATTTACCAACTGATACCGTCTACTTGTATCCCCTTATAACAATGCTTATAATGAAGAAAATAATACTTTTATTCACTCCATCAAAAACATTTGAATTTTGCAAAGCTCAGATACAGTAAAATATTTATATCACCCAACAATGTTCTACATTTCAATTGGGTTCCCCTCCCCATAAACTATTTTTAGTGAGACTAAACTCAATTTCATCATAGCAAGTCAGTATCATTCTGACTTACCAGTGCTAAAATCTTTAAGAGTTGTGTTAGAGGTAGATAAAAAAACATAATACTAGTAAATGTTGCAATATCACTCAGCAGAATATATGAAAAAGAATATCAATATAATGTTCTATATAATGTTTAACAGCGAGGAAATAATTTTTCTTGCACTTCTGCATGGGGCTTTCATCAAAAGTCTGTATAGCACCAAGAGGCCAGGATAGGTTCTTGGTAAACTAAAAAAATAGAATACCATACTGTAAATTAACCAGACTGCTACTAGCTTGCTAATATCACATGCAGTATGTGAGATTTCACAAATCAAGATCAAAGAATAAAATCATGCAGTCTTATTCACGAGTGATGTAATGAGTAAAAGTGACATTATTAGCAGTGAACAACAGTTGGGAATAACATGCACTGCTATACCAGTGATGAAGCTATGAACCAGGAACATTAGGTTTTTCTGTATAACATTTAATCTTTGCCTTCCAAAATAATGCTAGATGTTTCCGTTACAATGAAACTCAGTCCTGCTTAGTGTACCTTTGCAGTCTGTCAGTAGAAGAATGTAAGAGCCTGCAACAGTTCTGTTAAGAGCAACTAATTTTTCTATTTGCTATCCCAAGTGCTAGCATGATCTGGATCACAGTAATCCATTTTCAGTGCACCTTCTTTTTCATGCCTTCAGAAAACATATGGAGGGCAACACATCCTATTTCAGCATTAGAAGAAGTTTCTTAAAGGAATAAAAGGTTGGTGGAATGGTACACATTTAGTATGGAAAATGTACATGCCACTTTATTACAGTTCAGTACTTAAAGATCACAAGGAAAAGAAACAGCCTATTCAGGCTCCAGAATGTAGGGAGAACATATGGACACTATTTGACATTAATGAAGACAGGTTTAGTTGAAACATGAAAAGAGCCCTTTGTAGGGTCAATGTATCATGGGATGGTGTGCCAAAGTAAACAGAAGCAAGGAATATTAACTTTAAGGAAAAACACTACTTTGAACTGATTTTCAGTAAGTATATCAGGCTCAACGTGTCTAATTATGTATCTAATTTGGCACCTTCTAAAACCAGAAAATCTTGTTTTCATACCAACCATAGTGCATGCTGCTATTCCAAATCACAAAGTACTGTGTTCAAAACAATACACTCCATGTAGGTATTACTGGGGTTGGTTAGGTTAAAAGGGATTTTTTTTTATTCTCAGAAAAACTATTCTGTGCTGCCATCTACAGTATCTCACCAGAAATACCACGCTTATATTATTTCAACCACCTGGGACAAACTCTTTCCTAAATGTTTCTTGCCTATTCACTGACAAAATCAAACAGATTCTTTAGACAGAGCCCTTCTTCCTGCATTTGAGAGCATTTCTGTTGTTGAATGCACCCCAAACTGAAATCCAGCTGCTTGGTTTTAACAAACAGCATTCCTAAAAAATGGTCTCAAATTCTAGTGTCTTAATAGTTGGGACAGAGATTGAAGAGCTCTTGAAAGGCTTGCAATATTTAGGTGAAAAAAAGTCATTGCTGTTAAAAGTCTCTCAAACTACCAAAGTTTGAGAGGTTAATCTATTCTTGTCAAATTCAAATTAGGGTGTGTCCAGCGTCTGCATTTTATAAACACAGGAAAATTGGAACGGAGCCAAAAAACACACTGGTTGAAGTCTGCCAACATAATAAACAGAAAAGTAAGCAGCAAATAAGTAGGGGAGCAAAGAGAGAAAACAACATCTGAGGAATATATGTATCAAAAATTCCTGCATCTAGAACATTGTGGCAAGAAGAAAAGAGATATGCATGACATTGTCCAATGTTGTTTAATCAGTATCTTACAGCTTCTTGTCTACAAACATTAGACAACTTGCATGCTCTGTCAACATTTAGTTGTAGTGCATTTAACAAATATTCCTTCTCCTGGCACAGAGATTCTGGACTTCCTGCCAATTAGTGGGACAGGATTTCCCATTTGTCAAATTACAATTTCTTTATTTAAATAAGCTATTCTGCATTTCCCAAAAACACAACAGAGGCAGGAGATGTGAAATGTAAAATGGAAACTCAAGTTGGTCTTGTCACGTGGAAATAATTACTTTAAATTTAACCTAGCTGAAGTACAATACTAAACAGGAAAAGGATGGAATACCTCAATTCACATCACAATTTGCAATGCAGTAAACTATTAAGAAGGGGAAAAAAATCATTTCATGGCCATAGCTGATCTTAACAAGTTTACTACAGCCTGCTGTGCAGGTTAAGCAGCAGTGTTCTCTGCCACTTGCCAAAACAGACAATACCTGCTAATAAAATTATTTTGCTCCTCTAGTATCTTGATTAGCAGCTAGTGATGCAGTGTTCTAAGCCAGCCCTTGGAAATGATGCACTGAAAGATTGAGGAGTACAGCACATTCAAAAAACATGGCAATGTGCATTATTTACACAAAAACAAATTTTGCCTACTTGTTATAAACTTTTTCCACAAGACAGAACTCCCAGACAAACAACTGGGTTGCTCCTCCTTTTATGCATAAAGGAAGTGAATCCGTTCCAATAAAAAAAACATAATGTCTTTAAATTCCAACCCCAGTACCATATCTCTCCAGCTTCAACTATCGCAGTACATTAAAAAACACCTTATGTAAGTGTGACCCACAGTAAGAGCCATCTAGATCATTCTAAAAAAAAAAAAAAAAGGCAATTCTGGATTGGGAAGTAAACTGCAATGAAAATACCCTTTAAGGCACGGATATCTAAAGGCTTGGAATAATTATGGTAACTAGTAACTTCCTGAATGGGGTGGCAGACATCTATCAGGAATCACTGCCAGTGTATGGACAGAGTGTGTACAGTTTATGTGACTTTATTCTTTTGCTTTTACTGGACAGCAAAGTTAGAGGGTCATCCTGAAACACCCCATTCTTGCCTGAGACAGGGAGTATCCTGGGGAAAGAGAATGTTTTAAAAGTAGGGCTGTGAAACGATTAAAAAATTAATTGCTATTGATCACAATTTTAATCGCACTGTTCAACAACAGAATACCAATTTAAATTTCTTAAAAATATTTTTGGATGTTTTTCTACGTTTTCAAATATATTGATTTCAATTACAATGCAGAATACAAAGTGTAGAGTGCTCACTTTAATATTTTTATTACAACTATTTGCACCGTAAAAAAGATAAACAGATAGTGCAATCTAAGTGTCGAAACATGATGGAGCATGCAAATGTTTAGCATATCTGGCACATAAATTCCTTGCAATGCCAGCTTCAAAAGTGCCATGTGAATGTCTTTTATCACTTTCAGGTGACATGGTAAATAAGAAGTGGGCAGCATTATCTGCTGTAAGTGTAAACAAACTTTAGCGACTGGCTAAACAAGTAGGACTGGGTGGACTTGTAGGCTCTAAAGTTTTACATTGTTTTGTTTTTGAGTGCAGTTATGTAAAAAAATAATTCTACATTTGTAAATTGCACTTTCACGATAAAGAGTTTGCACTACAGTACTTGTATGAGGTGAACTGAAAAATACTATTTCTTTTGTTTATCTTTTTTCAGTGCAAATATTTGTAGTTAAAAATAATACGAAGTGAGCACTGTACACTTGGTATTCTCTGTTGTAATTGAAACCAATATATTTGAAAATGTAGAAAAACATCCAAAACTATTTATGATAAATTTAAAGTGCTATTATTAACAGGGCAATTAAATCTGGATTAATTGCAATTAATTTTTTTAATTGAGTTAATTTGTTTTGAGTTAATCTCTTGAGTTAACTGCAGTTAATTGACAGCCCTATTTAAAAGGCTTGTACTTTTACAGTTGTTCTTGTGAAGTGCAGGAAATGGCCCACCTTGATTATCACAACAAAAGGTTCTCCCCTCCTTCCCCCCACTCTCCTGCTGGTAATAGCTCACCTCTCCTGATCACTCTTGTTACAGTCTGTATGGTAATACCCATTGTTTCATGTTCTCTGCGTATATAAAATCTCCCCACTATATTTTCCACTGTATGCATCCGATGAAGTGAGCTGTAGCTCACGAAAGCTTATGCTCAAATAAATTTGTTAGTCTCTAAGGTGCCACAAGTATTTTTTTTCTTTTTAAGAACAAAACTGTTGCTGAAGCTGTTACAGAGTACCAGGGAATGTGATAAAGCCAGAAACATACTCTTGTTCTCTCACCTGATTTCCTGACCAATCCTCGGAGGGAGTGGAATGGGACAAAAAGGAATAGGGATGACATTTTGCCTATAGCTGAAGTAGGGAGTCAATGGCCTAGGTTTTATGGTCCCTACACCTTAACAAGAACCTTTAGACTTCAGTTTATCCAGTTTGCAAAGAGATCTAGATCTAATTTAGCTCATCCCACTGATGGTACTAATGACTCCTTGGTTGAAATTACTCCTGTAGTCTACTGTGGTTCTGTTCAACCAATTCACTTTAGTGTGGGAAAATTCCGTATATGGGCATTGTTTTAATGAATGAAATACAAGTTTCTGCCCCTTTGCTTTTTTGGGCTTTACTCCAACTCTTAGGCTTTGTCTGCATGATAAGTCATCCATATAACTAAATCAGTTTAGAAACAGATTTAGTCAAGTTGGTGCAACCTCCTTGTGTAGACTCTTATTTTGCTTAGAGAACCTTTTTGATTTAGCTTAAGTTGGTGAGTAATTGGCTTAAGCTAAATGAATAATGCAGTCAAAACAAAATAGGAGGTTCACTTAAAAGGGGTTGCTCCAATTTAACTAAATCATTTCTGAACTGCTTTAGTTATATCCATGCAATTCTCACATAGACAAAACAAGGCCTTAGTTCCTCATTTGGGTCCAAGAATTGAGCGATGAGTGAGTGGAGAAGTTTTTTCTTTCAAAGAGAGGATTTCCCACGTTGTCAGAAAAGTGTCCATCTGTCTAGTCTGCATCTGATTGCTCAGAGGTCTAACTCCTTCAGGACAATTGTTTCCTGTCAGAGCATAAGTTGGTTCAAAGCGGGGATCCAAGACATTGAGGTTATTGGTGGCCTAACCACCAGGTAGTAGGACAAGACCAGCAGAGTCACTGTGGCAAGCCAAATACAGAGGAAACCATTGTGAGACTAAGGTTTTGTCTACACTACACAGCTTTTAGCGACAAGACCGTGACGCTAAAAGTCTGTCAGTGTAAATGCTGTCTGTCAGCACTTTTGCCAACAAAATACTTCCACTCCCCATGAGTGGGGTTTGTGTTGTTTACACTACCACTTGCTGCCACAAAACTTGTGTCTTTCGCGGGGGAAAAAGGGGGCTTTTTAAGCACCTGTGAACAACAAAAGTTGTGTCATTCAATTGGCAGCGTAGACAAAGTCTAAGAATACATGATTTCCTTCCAATAACTAGAAACACTTATCACAGAACCCCAGGAGACTGGAGAGCTGACGCTACCAGTCTCAGTAAAGAAGAATGGAATTACACCCTTTCCAGAACAGAGGTCTCCCCTCGTTTTGCAAATATGAGGACACAGAGATTTGAAGAGTCCTCTGCTCCTCTGACAGTTCTGTACTGCCTTTATCTTCACACAGGAGAAGGAGCAACCAAGTTGACATTCTCATAGGAAAAACTACTTGATTAAGGTAACAAATTTGTACGAACAGTTATCAGAATAGCTAAGAAATAATGTTCTTTTAAAAATAAGATGTAAAACTATATGTAAAAACAAAATAGACTTACTGGTTATCATTGCTCCAGATACAGAACCCAGAAATCCAATGCTGACCACAATGACAGAGATTAGTCTCCCCTGCCTATGCCTCTGCAGCATCACAAACATTAACACTCCCACAGCACCATGGACAAAGAGAGAGGAGAAGAGAGCCCATAGGAAAACCCAGTACCACATCTCTGAAAAGAAAGCAGTCAAATAAAAGTTAATATTCTGATGTATTATAAAGCAAGCCGTTTAGAAATACTGTATTTTATAAGACAAACATTGATTTCCGTCTTCAGAAGAAATCAATCTGAAAATAGCGGTATGTGCTCAAGACACTGTACCTATTAGGCCAAACATCTTAAAGAAACACCCCCAAGTATATCCAAAAATTCCAAGTAAAATTTGGGTCCACCTTCATCAGAAGAGCACCTCTGAAGCAACGTGTTTCCCTCAAAGTTGTTTCTAAAACCAAATTTCATTGTACTTTCACGCTAATATATAGTATCTACTGTAGAACTATTCAACTATCACATGCAAACAAGCTTATCAAAAATATTTAACAAGGAAGCTTAAAAAGATGCAAAGATTAGTGATTTAAATGGGGAAAATAAGATGAAGGCTAGCACCTTAGCTAATCAAAAACTTAAATGAAGAGTTCTGACGAACAAATTCACCCCAAAGGAGCGGAATTTTTACTACAGTAGAACCTTGGAACCTCAGGAATGGAGGTTGGCCGGAACTCTGAAATGTTCCATAGCTCTGAAGCAAAAGTTTACGGACTTCAGCCATATGGCGGGGGGTGAGGGGGTTTGGGTTGGCAGCTGCAAAGGGGGTGTGGCGTGTCAGGGCTCCGGGTAGCTGTGGCTTCTGCCCTGGGGGAGAAGCAGGGCTCAGCACTTTAGACCTGTGAGGGGTGCTGGGGCTCGGGGCTTCAGCCCCACAGCTCCATTCCCAGCTTCCGCCCCACGGGGGGTGCTGGGGCTCAGGGCTCCCCACGGTTCCGCTTCCGGCTTCAGCTGGGGAGAGGGGTGCCAAGGCTCAGGGCTTTAGCTACAGAGGTAGCGCTGGGACTGGAACTGGTGCTCCCCTCATAGCTAAATCCCTGAGCCGCAGCGCCCCCTGTGGGGTTGAAGCCCCAACACCCTTTGTGAAGCTGCAACTGGGATCGGAGCCCCAGTGCTCCCAAGAGAAAGAAGCCCCCCGCCCCAGCTGCAACTACAAACCCCGTGGCTGAAGCCCTGAGCCTGGGTGCTAACGCTCTGAGGCAGTATAGTATTTGCTTTTTTGTTTTAGTCTGTGCTGCTGCCTGATTGAGGACTTCTGGTTCCACAGGATGTCTGGTTGACCGGTAAGTCCATAACTCTGGTGTTCATATCTCTGAGGTTCTACTGTACCTAAGTCAAAAACCTAATGTTTATAAAGAGCCAAATTACAAATGGTTTTTATATTTCTAGTTGCTTATTTACAATTAGTCAACAATATCAGTCTAGTAATTTCTACTATTTCTTCAAAATATGCCGACATTATATTGTCACAGCTGGGTAACCACTAAAACTGAAGTTCTTAATGGTGTAATACATGTGCTTGAATACAAACAGGTTCCCCCTTTTAAATGTCAGACAAATGTTACTACTACTTTGAAAGTAAAGGAGCAGTAAGGATCATTGAAGGTATATGGGAATGAGAGAACTACTAAGAAATCAGAAAGGCCACTTAAGAATGCTCCCATTCACTCCAGTGCTACGTGCCTCAAACCCACAAATCTCCTCCTGACTCTTTATGGGTGCTTATCCATCCCTTATTTGCATGCCGAAATCTCTAGCTTTCCCCTCAACTTCTAAAATGTAGTTATACATTGAAAACAAACAGTGAAAAGTTAGGGGTAGCATAAAGTATTTTTAAAAGACTGTCAAAAGATTGCCAAAGAACTAGATAACACTTATTGTAGTGAAAAAAAACAAACAAACCAAAAATCAATTAAAATTGAATTGATTGTACTAATCATGAAAACGAATTGTAGCATATTCCCTGTGTGTACTGTGGCAAACCTCTGTCCTTGCCTCCCGTGGGTCCCGCGTTTCCTGGCGGATTTCGCTAGCCTCAGAGGCTCACTGTGACCCTCCACGTAACCCTTCTCTCTCTAGAGACAAGGGTCACAGTCTACTGAGCCATTTTCATCATAAGCCAGCAAGGGAGGTGAAGAGAAGTTATCCGTCCTTGCACAGTCTCTGTTGTCTCCCAGTCTCAGTGATTAATCAGGGGGCAAAGGGCGTGGGGGGGAGCCCATGCCCACCCTCTACTCCGGGCTCCAGCCCAGGGACCCTAATAGTATCAGCTATGGTAGCTGACCTTTTAGAAACATGACATGTACAATTCCCTGGGCTACTTCCCCCACAGCAGCCCTCATTTCCTCAAGCTCCACTTCACCCTTACCCCCGGGCCTCCTTCCTTGTGCCTGATATGGTGTGTACTACTCAGTCTCTCCAACAGCGCAACTTCCTCCCACAGCTCCTGACATGCACACCTACCTGACTAACTGGGAGGCTTTTAACTAGTTTCAGACAGCCCCTGATTGGCTTCAGGTGTCCCAATCAACCTAGCATTCTCCCTGCCTTCTGGAAAGTTCTTAATTGGCCCCAGGTGTCTTAATTGACCTGGAGCAGCTGCCACTTCACTTATCCTGGTACGAGGGATTTGTATAGCCTGGAGCTAATATATCTATCTCCCACTACTTTTCTATAGCCATCTGACCTTGCCCCGTCACAGTACTTTATATTAATTTCAATAAAAGTCTCAAGTGAATGTTTAAAGTATAACACAGAACAGTACATATGGCAGGAATCAGGAAACCTTCCTGCAAAGTATGGATCCAGTGTCCCATGAAGTACACAGGCCCTGCTTATGACCCACTGTAAAATGTGCTCTCTCTTTAACTGAATCCATTCAAGGTTGCCTTTTTAGAGCCTTTTCTACATTGTAAAATATACCCATTGCTGATGGTGCAACCAGCTGAACCAGTGCTGAACACAGTTTATCTGCAAGCATAGCCAAAAACATAAGTCTACAGCTCTGTTTCAGAAAATGATTAGTCAATCCCCATTTCTATGCATTAAAACTGCTGCTGCAGTCTTAGCCTGATATTACTACATTATTTTACAATCAGAAAGTTATTTTCACAGTTATAAGGGCTGCCAACTTTTCCTTTTTCCAATTCCATGGTCAAAGAACTACAAAAGAAACAGGATTGGATAGTGAGAGGATTTATAATTAAGAGCCTAAGCACTAGATGATCAAGAAACATTCCCAGAAGGTTTTTCTCTTGAATTTTCAGTATGAAGAGACAAGCTATTTGAATGGTATCCGCGCTGCAGTCTCAGCCAGGATTGTGTACCATCATGATAGTGTATTAATATAATACTGATATAAATGACCCCACAGAATAAGGTGCAAGAGTTGATAGCATCCACTGTTTTGGAAGAAGAAACTGTTCTGCTCTTGGTAAGTGTGCACCCCATGTGCTCAGGTTTGGATTCTTTTGGGTACCAGTGCCTGCTGAGTCTATACATGCACCCCATGTGTGTCCTCATACCTCCCACCCAAGAGCATAAAGATCCAGGCAATCCTAACTACCTCTCAGTTCCTTCGCCAATATAGAATCCAGGTGTTAAAAGACTCTGCAGTAGCAGGGAAGGAGAACTGGTCATAAAATATATATATCTTGACAACATCTCGAAGAACCACAGTTACCATACGGCCTGAGCGTGGAGATGGTCCAGGTGAATTCCCCCATACTAGACTGGAAACGTCTGTCATCTGTGCGTTGGATGGCAATAGTGGAAATAAGGGTAAACCCTGCATACTTCTGGAGGATCTGTCCACCAATTTAATCCAATTTAAATATGATGGGATTTGGGGGTTAGTGGGATCTGCACTCTCATGTCTAGATGTCTGTTGAGTGGATATATAGACTTCAGCCACTCTTGCAAGCATTGAAGGTGAAGTCTGGCACGCAGAGTTATGAAAGTGTGAGAGGCCACATGCCCTAGGAGGCTGAGGCAAACTACTGATGTCTGAGGTTGGGCTTGTAACTGATTGACCAGACTTACTATGCAGTTGAATCTCAGATGAGGCAGATAAGCCTTTGCTGTGGTGGAGTCCAGTAATGCCTCTATAAACTCTATTGTTTGGGAAGGAAGTAAAACCAACTTTTCCTTGTTGACTGACTCAGAGGGAAGCAAAACACTGGAGTACCCGAAAAGGGCAAAAGTCACATGCTGAGTAAATCTCTCCCAAATGAGCCAGGCTGTCTAGGTAAGGAAAAACTTGGGTAACTTGTTTTCTGAGGTATGCTGCCACTACCACCAGGCATTTGATAAATGTCTTTGGGGCAAGACCTGAATACCAATTCTGCGGATGCGCAGAGGGAATTATCGAGAACACAGTGATCATTCTTAAGATGAACCTGTGGATGAAGATGTTCAGCTGTTGCAAGTCTGTAACTGAATGTCAAACCCCTTTCTTCTTAAGTATTCAAAAGTAAGGGGAATAAAACCTGTTTCCCCTGTAATCTCGAGGGACTTCAACTGCTCCAAGACTTAGGGCAAGTCTATACTACAAAATTAAGTTGACTTAAGTTATGTGGATGTACACCCACCACAGTAGTTAAATTGGTTTGGCATGTCCACACCAGATCCTTCTGTCAGTGGTATGCGTCCTCACCAGGAGCGTTTGTTTGCACCGATTTACCTTGAAGTGTGGGGCACTGACAGCTGGAACAGTCAACGTAGTGTCTATGCTAACACAACGTAGTCAGGTCAACGCAGACCTAAGCACTACGTTGCTTGTGGAGGCAGAGTTAAGTTGGTGTAGTGGGTGATTTACAGCAGTGGGAGCAATATTGTAGTGCAGACACATACGTTGATCTAACCGTAGTGTAGACCAGCCTTAGAAATTATTCTACTTCTTGTTGTAGTGTGCTCTAGTTAGAAAGGTCTCTGAATATGGATGGGGAAGGGATAAGTGGGGTGTGAAGAGTCTGGAATTGAATGGAGTACCCCACCTCTGCAATCTCCTGTACCCATCAGTCCATAGTTATGAGATGAAAAACTGTTCTCAAATTGAAGGAGGTGGGGGAAGGGAAGAGTGAATTCTTTAAGAAGTTATGTGGCTCCTAACTGAGGAGTCAAATCTG